AAGAAGGACGGAACCCAAGGCTAGCAAGAGTGGTGTGTAGCATGTTGTGCCACTCGCGGGGTGCCTGGCGGAGACCGTAGACTGGTCGCTCCAGGCCCCTGGGTTCCAGGCGAGATAGTGCCAGTGTAACTAGGAGGTCGGCACAGCCAGATCTCCTCGTGTAAGCGGCCCTAGTGAAAGGAAGTGGAGAAGTCCACCGAGAGTAGTCATCTTGAGGGTCAGGGCGAAGGTCTGGAAGAAGTTAACTCTCTCACGCTGATCGAGGCCCCTAGCTACGTAGCACGTATTGAAGAATGGCAGTGACCCTAACAACCGCTTCACCTTGAAGATCCACATGCCATCGACGTGCCCGTGGATCTCCAAGACGCCATCTCTGATTCCATGGTCACTATCCACTAGGAGGGCACTATCATAAGACTGCCTCACGGTACGTGCGAGGTGCCAGTATATCAAGGAGTTCGGGGTCTCCCTTAGGGGCTTTCAACATGGCACAGAGATTGGGAGAATGTTGGATGCATGCCATTCTGAGTGGATGTCATGCTAACGTCCTGCTGAGTGTCGTGCTATTTGTGCTTGCATGATTTGCATGAGCATATGTCATTGTGCATGGCTGTTGGATTTTACCACCTCTGTGTTTTTCTCCAAGTCTAAATGCTTGATCATGCAGGAGAAATCCAGAGCTTTCCAACGATACCAAGATCGCCTTATTCCGACCAAGATCGCCCAAGTTACAAGATTTCCAAGATTTGAACTTCTTATTATCTTTTGGGGTTATATCTAATTTGGGCGGTTATTGGGACATGACTATAAAGGGATCTTTGGTTGGGTGGTTAGGAAGGCAACTTTGACTTTTGGATTGGGGTGGCTAGAAGTTTCTAGCATGGGTTGCAAATGTTGCAACACCTAGGCAAAATCCAACTAGATTGGATTTTGCATGTGACACCTCAAGGACCTCATGATGAGGGTTGCATCCTTGCTGCTAGGACTACCATCCTTCCGTAGCTCTTGGAGAACCCCTTCCCTCTCATGGTTCTCTTGAAGTCCTCAACTCCAACTTACCTATGCTTTAGTGCTTGTACTTTCTCTACCATCCTAGTCATGTAGCTGCTTGACGTTTTCACATGGTTCTCACTCTCTAGACCATCTTTTTAAGTGATTCAAATTGGAGATGGTAGCTAAGCCTAAGGCGCAGCACCCTACTAAGCATATTTGCGTTTAGTTGAGAAATGTGCTTGTCGTAAGTTCTCGAAGTGACGGATCCTGAACAGCAGAGAAGTATCTTCCAAGGACTCCAGCTCAAACTGCCTATCCTCTAGGACATCGCAGCCAAGGACAGACACACCCTCACCAAACAGTGGATGGGTAGGGGGAGCAGCCAATATATGGGTGGCGTTGTCGAGGCGGCGAGTGGCAGCAAAGGTACTGACAGCGGCAATAAGAGCCGAGATAGACGACGGAAAAGCAGTAGGGTCAGTGACAAGAGAGGCAATAACACGTGAAACAACATGATTAGCAGCGCGGTAGCAGTTAGTGATAGGGTCAGAGGAGGCTCTAAGTAATGTTCCAGGAGGTGATGGGAGAACAAACTGGGGTGGAGACCGACTTGGACCCGAACGCAACAAGACAATACGATGGACCCGACGGTGTTTCACGTACAAGGGAAGGCTAGCGTACATGATGCTCCCCTCCCGTGGCTTTGCCACCGTCTGCGCCTAGAACACCGGCCATGTGCTTTGTGTGCACTTTGACCATGGTGGCATGTCTACCTTTTGGTCATTTGGAGCAGTTTTATTGTGTGGAGGACATATGCCAAACCTACACACTCCAGATTTGTTGCTGAGCATTGGCTTGGTCACGGAGATCGCTACCCCATATTTTTAGTGTCTTGCAGTCCGCTATGCCATAAACTAGCTTAACATGTGCCCTCATGTCTCACGCCCATAAGTATTGCTGGCCCACCTCTAAACTGGGTTTCCGGATGTTGCGACTGCGTTCATGCCTAAAGCTTCCCTACTCACATCCGCGACCTTGACGTAGACAAGCTCTCAGCCCTCAATGTCTTCCTCGATTGCTCCCTCGATGCTTCTAGCTTCCGCACCTCTGGAATCGGTTTCCCGGTGTTGCAACTGCGTTTTGCGCCCGGGGCTTCCATATTCACACTCCCGACCCTAGCTTAGTACAATCTTTGTCTTTTTTGCTTCCCCCCCCCCCCGATGCTCTTGGCTAGCCCACCTCTTGACTGGGTTTTTTCTTAACCTTCTCTTCTAATATCCACGACCCTAGCGCAGACAAGCTCTTTACCCATACTGTCTTCCTCGGTTTCCCCCTCGATTCCCCTGGCTTGTTGTTTCTTATTTTAACGAACCTCTCCATTCCTACACTCATCACTTCCACCGAGGAACCCTAGTTCCCTCCACCCCCATCTTCCCCACTTTCATCCCTCTCCTTGGCTCCATATCTTATACTGATTGTGATGCTGCTTTTATATGTATGAACAAATGAGCTTTCCATGTGGCCATGTTCTGGTTGGGCCGCTCTAATTTGTATCGCATGCTGTGTTATTAGTTTTTTTTTTTTTTTTTTTTTGAGGAGAAATTACATCATACAATGTAGAAAAACACAATCTACAATCGTAACCGAGCTAGAGGGCCTGGGTAAGTCATACCATACCCTCGTAAATCCGCCACGGAAGTTTATAAATATTGTGATTCATTTTTTCATTCTACCTGTTTGTGCTTTTCTTAGTGCTGATGTCGGGCCTTTTCTGTTAATAGGTCCCTTTGTTTGTCTTGTGTAAATTTTAGCAAGAAGCGTTGACAAACTTCCGAGAAATAAGACATCTCTAGTAGCTTCCCGTGATCAATGGCGGAAACATCCAGGGAGCAAGATACCTCCAATAACTCCTCTCGTTCCATGGAGCAGAATCACTCTAATGGCTCCGTCTTTATCCTCCAATAGAAATAAATTGTTGTTGTATAATAATATGTTTCACATAATCGAACCTCATGAATTATATAATCTATGGAATTGAATGGCATTCTTCACAAATTTCAAAAGGGAAAAAAAAACAACATGTTTAAACAGCCCAGGAGCCATGCAGATTGTTCAGAAATCTTAACGTTGTGCTAATGTCATATGATTCCTAGTTATAAGATTAAGGATCAGACTTCACGGTACTTACACTACCCACTTCTAAATAATGATTTTGTCTTGTTTTCAAGGTGCCAGATTGAGTTTAGGTATCCCACCCGACCTTTTTTACTTCCATGGAAGCAAGTACTAGACCTGAAAAAAACACAGACCTATACAAAAATAGTCACAACGAACCCATGTTCTCTGTGTGAACGTAATGTTGGTACCGTAAAATAACCATTGATGAGAAAATCCCAAATGTAAATACAGATAATAGAAGTGTGTTGTTTCTTGCTAGCAGGCCTTGTTTCTTGCTACCTGATGGAATAGCAGTGCTGCCTAAACCCCCAAATTTCCTTAGTAATAGCCATACAGCTTAGTAACGCACTTAATGATAGTACCAAGCAAATGGCAAGGTAATCTACATACTCCTAGAACCAGCCGTAAGTTTCAGTAACGCACGTACTCATAGCACCAATCACGCAAGTAAGCAATGCACTTACTCTTAGTACCAACCATACGCCCAAGTAACACACAAACTACTAGTGCCAAGACACAAACCATCTACTAGTTATTGTACTACCCGGACACATGGTAAGAAATGCACTCAGTCAAATTTCTGCACAGTGGCTTCAAACGTTCATAGCGATCTGGTCACAGCTCCAATTGACCTGATTCAACTTGGATCTGGAGCGTCTTAACGTCGCCTGCAACATGCATTTTAGATCCCACGATTTTATAAAGAATTGACGACACAACGTTAGATTGAACGAACGGCACTATGGCAGCAACATAGTCTTGGAAACAATTAGGAAGAGCTAGGAAGAGTTACGAGTTGGGAATGACTCCCAGCTCCTACAAACCCCAAGAGCCGAGGTACAGTGATGGGGAACAGTGCCACACTGTCCCCAACCAAGAAGGGTCTCGAAACTACCCTTCACAAGGGCCTACAGCAACCGAAATGTTACACAACACTTTGTAATGTAACTATCTTCAATATCTTGAGGTGTACCCCTTTGGCGAGCTTCAAAATCACTTGAAGCTTGAACCAAGGCTCGGGTTCTTCATCACAAAACTCATCCTTGAGTTCTTGATGGGTCTGCTGCACACACCTGCGACACACCGAACGTTCGACACAGGATAAAATAGAAACCGTGCACGGGAGACACGACAAAATAAAAACCGCGCGCGAGACACAAATGACCGCATTGACACGCGGCTAGCGATAACTCGCTATTGACTCGACACACACACTCGACATCATGACCCATCATACACACACCATTATAAGCATGAAATATATATATTTATCACATGCCCTCATTCCATTCCATGCACACACGCATGCACGCACACGGACAACAAGCCGAGTGCAAACCGTAGGGTTGCACCAACAAACTCCCCCTCGGGTTTTTCGCCATAGGATCTTGCTCTCTCAGTTCAGAGCCATCCCAGCCAGCTTGCAGCACTTCTAGTGCTGCTGCTGCACCCGCCTCTTGGTCATCATGTCAACTGAATGCCCCGTCGTCTTCACGTAGCGCAACTCAACTTCACCCGCGGCCACCATGCTCCTCGTCCAGTGCCACTTCACCCTCATGTGCTTGGTCAGGCCGTGCAACACAGGGTTCTTGGCTAGAGCAATGGCTCCTTGGCTGTCACAATAGAGTGGGTAGGTCCTTTCTGCTCCTCCCCCAATTCAGCTAGCAAACGCCGCTGCCACTTAATATTCCATACGGCACGGAAGAGTGCCTTATACTCGGCTCCACCGAGCTCAAAGCTTGGTCCACCTGCTTCTTGCTCTCCCAAGCAGTTGGGCCTCCACCAACACAGCATATCAATCCTCCCACACTTGTCATGTCCTCTGGTTGTCATGCATAGGAGGCATCAGAGAATGCAGTGAGGATCAAACGCCCGGGTTCAACAAAATCCGCGCCCTTTTGGCGCCTTTGCGCCGCTGCCGAGTATTGCAGCCCAACGGTCGGTGTTTGGCCAAAATAATTGGCTACTCTCATTCCAGCTACTACCTGCTCCTCATTAGGGCATTGGACAACCCTTGCCAACTGCCCGGCAGCAAACGCGACGTCCAGTCGGGTGTTTACCGCTGTGTACGTGAGGCTGCCCACCAACGAGTGAAAACGGCGCCTCTCCTCTTCTCCAACACTCTCCTCCTCTGGTCCCTTCACACACTTGAACCCAGAAGGAAAGGGAGTAGCCACATGGCCTTCACTATGGCCAAAGTTGGTAGCCAAGGCCTCCAGGTACTTCCGTTGGTGCACCCGCATGCACCGCTTCTCCACATCACGCTCGATGTGAAGCCCGAGGTAAAAGTTCACGTCCCCAAGAAACTTGCACTTGAACTTGTCTTGAAGCTTCAGCATCACCTCCTTCACAAGGTCAGAGGAGGGTGAGAAGATGAGAATGTCATCCATGTAGACCACCATGAAGCTCCTCTGCTCCCCCTCGCCAAGCATGAACAAGGAGTGATCGGCCGTTGAGGGAGTGAAGCCGATCTCCTCCAACACTTCGCGCAGCTTCAGGTACCACTGCCTAGGGGCCTGCTTCAGCCCATAGAGGGCCTTCTTCAGCTTCCACACTCTGCCGCTACCGTCATCAAACTTCTCTTGCTGCGCCATGAAAATCTCCTCCACAAGGATTCCGTTGAGGAACGCCGTTACGATGTCCAGCTGCTTCACCACCCAACCTTTGATCGCGGCTCCCGCGAGTAGGGTTCGCAGCATCGTCGTTTTCACCACCGGAGCAAACAGCTCATTGAAGTCCACCTTGTCCTTCTGCTGTTACTATTTCGCCACGAGCCTAGACTTGTAACATTCGATCTTGCCGTCGGCATCCGGCTTGATCTTGAAGAGCCACTTGGACGTTATCGCCGTACGCCCCTCCGGTAGCTCCACCAATTCGAACGTGTCATTCTCCTCGATGCTCTTCAGCTCACTCTCCATTGCCTTCTTCCACTCCTCAGCATCACTACTCTCCAAGGGTTTCTTGAGAGTTGCTGGTTTTCCCGGCATCTCCACCGGAGAGAAGAACGCGAAGGCACACTCCTCGTAGTCGCTTTCCTCGTCGTCTCCGACCATCCCAGGGCCGTCTTGCCAGACTCTCCCGGCGCGTCATATGTCAGCCTCTTAGGGGGTTAAACTCTCCTCTTGACACTTCCTTCCTCCTCAGCTGCAGAGACTTGAAGGCCTTGGCGTTGCTGCGGTGTGGATCGATTCCGTGGAGCATTCGTAGTGCGGGTAAGAAGTGTCGGCGCACGCTCGCTCACTTGCTGCACCTCCTCCTCTTCTTCCTCTGCATCCTTGGCCTCCTCTCCCCCATTCACAAGGGAAGATTGCCTTGTGGTGGTGCTTTTTTTCGCTCAGCTCCAAAGGTAGCTCCACATGCTCCAAGCCGGAACTCTTCACCTCTCCAAACCGCACGCCTATCTTCGCCTCATTCTCCGCCTTCCAATCCTTGTACATGAAGTTCTCCATGAACTTGCAGTCCCTGCTCACCAAGAACTTCTTGGTGAATGGGTCCCAAAGAAGCCACCCCTTGCTGTTTTGAGCCATGCCCAAGTGCACGGCCCATATCGCCTTGGCACCAAGCTTGTTGTGCCAAAGATGCTTAGGTACGAGCGCCATGCACATGCACCCAAACACCCGAAGCATATCCACCTTTGGCTTCCTTCCAAGCCACTCCACATAGGGCACCCATTTGTCTGCTCCCACATGAGTCAAGACTCTGTTCTTGGCCACACACGCGCTCCGCACCGCATCAGGCCAGAAATAGTCGGGTAGCCCGGCTTCAATGATCGTCCGGTTCGCTTGCCCGGCGATGCCATTCATTTCCTGGGAATATGGCATGGTGAGGGAGTGCCGAATACCATTCTTCTTCAGCCACAACCCAAACTCCTTGCTCAGGAACTCTCCCCCTCGATCGGTGCGGATTGACTTGACTAGACGGTCTTGTTGCCGCTCCACCATCGGGAACCAATCGGTCTTCAACGTTTCAGCCATGTCTCTCTTCTTGGCCAGGACATACACCGAACTCATGTGGGTGTAGAAATCCACTATGGTGCGGAAATACCCAGCTCCAGCAGCTCTCAGCTTCAAGGGGCCCACCACATTCATCACCACCGAACTAGGGAACGGAAACCGGGTGAACTTGGCTTGAATGCACGTCGGGCAGCCAAGCACCTCATCGGGCTCCCCCTTAAAAACGTATGCCAACAACCATCTGATTCTTCATCAGCTGCTGCAAGATGGGTAGGGCCACATGCCCCATTCTCTGATGCAAGGTGAGCGAATCACTCCCCGGTAGCCGAAGTCGGGTTGGAGAATGCCGCGCTCGCAATAGCGCCCCACATACTCTCTCCGTAGTCCTCCTTCGCTGCTGCCTCGGAATTTTCCTCACCCTTGTGCTGCTCCTTAGCTGCTGCACCACTCTCCTTAGGATTGTCAACGGGAGTTGGATGTTGGCCCCGTCCTCGCTTGGGCGGAGCCGACTTCCTGGTCGGGTGTAGGGGTGCAGCCGACCTGCAGCAGTGGGCGGGCTGGTCGACGTGGTTGGTCGACCTGCACGGGGAGCCACTGCATGGGCGCCGACTTCGGGAGGGCGCCAACTTCGGGTGGTCGACCCGGGGAGTCGACCAGACCTTCTGGTCGACCCGGGACATCGACCAGCCCTTCTGGTCGACCAGGAGTGACGTCGACTTGGAGCTGGTCGACCAGGGGATAGTGGTCGACCTGGGGAGGTCGACCGGAGGTGGCCGTCGACTTGGGAGGTCGACCGGCACGTACCAGAGGGAGTGGTCGACCTGGGAGGTCGACCGGAAGTGGTCGTCGACCTGGGTGGTCGACGGGCACGCACTGGAGCCTCTGGTCGACCTGGTTGCCTGGTCGACCAGGTTACCTGGGTGACGAGGTGCTGCGAAGGCTTGCGATGGTCGCCCAGGTGGTTTTGGCGAGGACGACCTCGGTGATGGTATCCCGAGGTCGACGTGGTGCATCAGAAGCAGTCGTCAGCACGAAGTTGATATGGTGTGTGCGTTGTGCAGGTGACGAGGCACTGCACGCCAATCGTCTGCGAGCACCTGCGAAGTAGGTGCGCTGCTGTCCTGCGGGAGCAACGTTGGCGCGCCGTCAACCTGCGACGTTGGCACGTCGTCGACCTGCAGTGTTGGCAAGCCGCGACTCTGCGCTGCTGGAGCGCGGTCGACCAAGTTGTGCTGGCGCGCGGTCGACCGTGCTGCGCTGGCAGTCGACCTGCTTGCATGCTAGCTCTGATGTAGTCCTGCCTTGCCAACTTCATTGTATTCATCATTGTTGTCAACTTTCTCTAGTGAAACTCTTGCCAAATTGCCTTGTGAACTAGCAAGCAGTGTGTGCACTAGGAAAACGACTAAGGAACTGAGAACGCAGAGATCACACGAGCACCCGTGCCTAGCCCGTAGTCTAGCTCCCGTTACTAGAGTTATCTCCGCATGGTGCGGTGAGCGTGGACGGCACACGAATTTTAGTCTAGTCGACTTAGTTGCACCTTACCTAAGTGGTTCGTAGGCCGGCAGCTGTGCGATCGTCACTATGGTAGTAGCCGTAGGTGACACGGGGGTGGTGGACACCCTGGAGGCACGGCTGGAAAACGCGAGGAGAAAGCACGAGGCCAACGAGTATGGCGACCTGCCTTGGGCGGTCGTCGAGGCTGGCATCCGTTCCCTGTGGGCGACGGAGCACCCTTCTCGGCCTGCGTCTCCTCGACCGGCGAACACCCAGGGCGGCGTCGACATGGGCGTCAACGCCGGTGGTGGCCAAGTCGGCAGCAGTGCGGGAGGCACGTCGTCGAGGCTGCGTGGTGTGATTCACGCCGATGAAGTCGGCGGCGTTCAGGCACGAGGGATGCGGTCGACTGCGGCTGCAGGCACCTCACTGGGCGACGTCGGAGGTCGACGAAGCGGAATGATGCCGATGGCAGCGTCCCAGGTGACGGCGGGCGGAATTGCACCGAGCTACGGCTACTACAAGTTCACGCCGGACAGGATCTCGGTGACTCCCCCGCTGGTCGGTCGACCAGACATCCTCACCTGGAAGGAGGCCATCGAGCCTCAGCTGGAGATGGCCGGGCTGATCAGCTTCGCTCGAGGCACCGTGGAGACGCCGGACGACCCCGACTTGCGAGCTGAGTTCCGCGCCGTGCAGCTGTTGACCTTCACGGTCATCTCGCGGTGCTGCACGCCGGGCGTGCAGATCGCCCTGAAGTGGTGCAGGGAGTACCTCGACGCCGGCCACCAGGCGTGGCACTTCATCGAGTCGACGTACCAGGTCACTGACCACCTGTTCATCGCCCAGTTGGAGGGGCAGTTGACGCACCTGCGCATGGGCAACGAGGAGACGGCGACCGACTACTGCAACCGGGCCCGGCGAATTCTCGCCACCATCAGGATGGCCGGTGCAGAGTACTCGACGGTGTTGTACATCACCCATGTCATGCAAGGTCTTCCGAGAAGCTACAACCTGTTGAAGCGACTGTCCGTGGCGCCAAGCACGAGGGCGACGCTCAACGAGGACAATCTGACCTCGTACATCCTGCAGGACGAGGCGATGCAGGAGGCTGAGCGGTCACAAGAGCTCTTGGCACAGGTGAACTACGTCGCCCCGGCGAAGCAAGGCGGTCGACCAGGGCAGCGTGGACAATCAGGTGGCGGTGGTAGCGGTGGTTCGAAGTCGGCCAAGGAGGTCGACAAGAAGAAGTCGACCAAGGACAGTGGCCAAGGAGGAGGAAGTCGGCGTCGGGAATGCTGGATCTGCCGCAGCCCTGACCACCTCTCCTTTGAGTGCCACGACCGCAGCGAATCCGACGACGACGACGCCAAGGGAGGTCGCGGGAGGTCGGCCAGCCGTCGTCCACGTCGAGGCAACCAGCCGCGCAAGGAGAAGCAGTCGACCACGGCGAAGGACGCCGACTCCTCTGCTGGCGGCAAGGGGAGCGACGACAAGGCGGCGTCGTGCTCTCTGGTCGGCGTCGTGGAGCCGACCCTCTCGATGGCGCCAGAGGCTGGCGAGGACTTCCAGGCGGTGGCGGCAGCTGTGCAGGCGAACCCGCCAGTGGTTCTGCTCGACAGCGGCTGCTCTCACCACCTGATGGGGACGAAGGACGCCTTCGTCGACTTAGGGCCCTGCGGCGACGTGAAGCACGTGCGTGGCTTCAATGGGGCGCTGCAAGACGTCCAGGGCCGGGGCACGGTCGCCTTGCAAGGCGAGGCCGGGAAGCAGGTTCTCATTCCCGACGTGCTGTACGTCCCGGGTGTGCGGGCCAACCTGTTGTCGTCCGGCCAGCTGAAGGAGCATGGCGTGAAGTTTCGGGAGGACGGCGACGGGGTGCTGCTCGTCTCGGCAGCAGGAGAGGTGCTTGGTCGGGCGACGTACTCCGGGCGAGTCCTCTGCACCGACCTGCGTCCCTGCTCAACGAGGTCGCCGTCGCCCACGCCGGAGGTTGTGGCCCTGCGGGCGATCGTCTCCAAGACGAAGTCGACGCCGGACAGGATGCACGCTCGGCTTGCGCACGTCGGCATGGACACCATCCTGAGCTCGGCGAAGAACGACGTCGCCATTGGGTTGGACCTCAAGTCGGCGACGGGCGC